GTCAGGCCATACAACCAATAATCTGATCCAATGATAAAACCGTGATAGCAGTGACCTCGGTAGTAATGCTCACAGTATAGCTCTGTGTGTGTGTGTCTGTCACAGTATAGCTCTATATATTGTTGTTATTATAATGGCCAGATCCAACACGTTTTACTATACACCAACTTGTAAATATTGGATTGTCTTTCCATGAAAAGCGCTGCCCTGCAGTGCATAACCTTAATATGCTACAGGTAAGAAGTCAGTTAATTGGGGCAGCACTTCTAATGTGCTACGATATCAGTATAAAAAATGTTAAAGAGACACTATAGTCACCCAGACCACTTCAGCTCAATTAAGTGGTCTGGCTGCCAGGTCCATCTAGGATTAACCCTGCCTGATGTAAACATAGCAGTTTCAGAGAAGACAGCCACTAGAGGCGCATCTGCAACGCTGGAGGCATTTAATGCCTCTATCTCGCAGAGCGTCCATAAGAAAGCATTGAGAAATGCTTTCCTATGGACACTTTGAGCGCTCCGCTGACGTCAGACCGGGGAGCTGACATCGGCAGGGGTGGAGAGGTAAGGGAGCCTGGCAGTGGAAGAAGGTGAGTGACTGAAGGGGCACCCTCAGGGTACTATAGTGTCAGGAAAACCGATTTGTTTTCCTGACACTATAATGATGCTTTAAATGTGTCTAGGAAAACACAGCAGATCTGGCAGCCTTAACTGTTGTTATGGTTTGTATAGCGACAGCGTGGTTACAGTTTTATAAGGAATACAACATAACATTGACAAAGTTATCAACAGGTAGGTGAAGGGATACCATAGGATCCAAAACAACTTTAGAGTAACACCCTGAGGACGAAGACTTGTTTGAGATGTGACACGTTTGTGACTATGGTCTTTTTGGCAACTTTGCCACGCGTTCATTCTACCATAATGTCCTACATTCTGTTCTGTGCACCCATACATATAATGTATGATTTTTAGACAAAGTAGACGTAGAACCTTTTTTCATACCCTATATGTATGCGTAACATAATATTAAATAGAAAGTGTGTGTGTGTGTGTGTGTGTGTGTGTATATATATATATATATATATATATATATATATATATATATATATATATATATAATGTGTGTGTATATATATATATATTTCTTTTTTTTCTTTTTTTTAACGAAAGACAGCCTGGGGTCCGCTCCCTTTAAAAAAAAAAAAATTTATGGCAGGCTAAAGGCATTATTAGAAATACTTTTGCTTATCGATATCGCTCAGCCATGATATTTCAAAGAATTCAAAGGGCAATGCGTATCGCAAATTTTTTTTCATGTTGGCTGTGTGAGTCACAGGCAGGGGAGATGTGGCCAAGGCTGCATAAACAGAAGTTATCTTTAACTTTTATGTTTGTAATGTCAGATTTTAATGTGGTTATATCTGCTACAAAAAAAAAAATCTAAATATGAAGCTATATGTTCTAATAACAATGCCGCCAAATTTAAAAGGTAACCTTATAGGAACACTTCCCACTAAATAGATTTTGCTTACACCAATAAAGGGGGCTGTCACTTTTCTTTAATTTATAACATTGAATTGAACATCATCTATAACATGTATTAACTTTTGTATTCTCCATTTTATTTTAAATTTATATTATAGGGACATGCATCCCTTGGCAATTATATTTTTAAACCCCCAAGCAAACACATGTACAAACCAAAAGCAAGAAAAAATGTGAAAAGTATTGTGACGGACCGCCTGGCACCCCCGACCGGGTACCTCCGTCAATTGCTGCTTCCTAGTACTTGTGAGCACCATAAGCACTGCACTGGAACACCATAACCACTGTAAACCCCACAAACCGCCGCAGCTTGGTTAGGGTCTCGCTGTCCTCCACCCACCTTGGACCCAAGACCAGGATCCAGCATCCAGTGGGTGACCTCTCCTAGTCCAGAGAGCGAAGCAGGCTGCTTATAAGAGCAATCATTGTGATCCAAGGGAGTATAGTGATTATAGCAATCCTAAGAGTATGAATATAGCTCTCCAATCCCCCAAACATGAGCCTAGACTTCATGAAGGGTAAAACGAATCTCAGTTTAATGGTAGCCACAACTGGCTTTTATGACAGTCCCCATGCAAGGGGCACTCCTTCCTGGACCTGATAGTAAACAGTAGAAATAAATACACAATCACTTTGGCTCTCGGGTCCAGGACACTCCCATACAAAATCAGATAATCCCGCCTCTGTGCCTGGGAGATAATTGGATCCGAAACTGTACTAATCCAATTATCTCCAAGCACAGAAAAAACATACATTTTCCCAAACACCCTAAAAGTACCCTAAAACACACAAACCCCCACAAAAGTTACATCCCCTGATTTTGGTGACCAACATATCCAAAAATCACCCAGATCAGTTATGGGGTTCAGGAATTTCCTGGACGTCTTATTTTTGGCCGACCGCACGCATGGTCCCATGCGGCTAAGTGCTGCTGGGGACCGACCAGGAACCACAAAGTCTTCCTGCCGAAAATAGTTCCAGGGCATTCGTGGCTAAGTCCCCCTGAAGTCGCGGTTTTGGTCTATGTGAACGGCCGCCAGTGAGCTAGCGTTCGGTTCCAGGGGGATAAAATATGGGTCTTTACACTTGCTGACCTGACCCATAGTCCTGGGGTAAAAGGCTGGCCAGCAGGCTCCTCCATGAACACGTGACGAGGCTCAATTCGTCACATTTCTTCCCCCCAAGGGAAAACTAACCAGGTACAGTCGATACCGGAGTTAGTTGAGTAGCCTACCCATAAACAAACACTTGACCTGGTGTCCGCTCTGTCCTGAATGTCCCAGGTTGCTGAGTGAGTGTCGAGTAGCCCACCCATAAACAAACACTTGATCTGGTGGCTTATGGTGTCCGGCTCTGTCTTGTATGTCCCAGGTTGCTGATTGGATGTCTGTCACCCCCGATCTCCCTTGTGCTTCCCGGCATGGCGTTGTGGGTACTTGGTGGGTAGAGGCCAGCGGCGCTCTGTCCCATAGCCAGCGTTACAGCTGGGTAGTACAGTGGGTCGTCTGACCCCAAAACACATGGGCCGGTAGGGCAGAGGCCAGCTGAGCTCGGCCCTGATGCCAGCTCCGCTGCTGGGATGGCCTGTGGGTATTCAGGACAAAGGGAAAGGGGAAAGCAGAGGCCAGA